GAGATATTTAAAAGACGGGTAGATGTGGTGCTTAGGGACATGGTTTAGTAGTGGCCTTGGCAGTGCTCGGTTAATGGTTGGCCTTGATGATCTTAAGGGTCTTTTCCAACCCAAACAATTCTATAATTCTGTGATTTCAGGCCATTGTGCTGTGATAGGGTTTTATCTCAGCCGTCAGCTTGCTGGGTCCTGAGTGTGAAGTGCTTCCCAAGGGGGGGGAGCAGGAAACTTCTGACAGCTCCTCTGGCAAGTCGCTGTCCCGCTGGTCCGCAGGTGGGGCTGGTAACACACCTGGCTTGTCACAGTCCCGTGTTTCCAGGTCCCTCACGCAGGTTGCCATCGGTCTGTGTCAGATTGCAGCAGTCTGCAGAAATGCAATTTTTAATGCTTTGGGTTGCTGAGGTGAAGTTCCTTATTTTTCTTAACAAATTTGGCTTGATCTAAAGCCATAAATCAGCTCAAACCAGCTGTCTGTCTTCGTGGAGTTTACACAATGTGCCTTTATGGCTACACATCATCCCAGATTGGAGACAGTAGTGGCGATGGTACATAGTTCGTTTTGCTGAATTCCGGGAGAACGGCTCTGTCCACAGCAGGGAGGTGTTTCCATCTTTCCTGTGCTTACCTCTCCCTTCCTTCCCCCAGTGCTGTGGAATGTCTACGGGGACTGCGATAACTACGCCACCCTGAAGGGACACAGCGGGGCAGTTATGGAGCTGCACTATAACACAGACGGGAGGTAAGCGGCGTGCGGACGGCTTTTGGCCTCAGGCCTGGCTCTTTCTGAAGGAAAAAAAGGACAAACTTCTTCACGGAAAGGGCTGTCAGGCCCTGGCCCAGGCTGCCCAGGGCAGGGGCTGAGTCCCCATCCCTGGAGGGATTTAAAAGCCGGGGAGATGTGGTGCTTAGGGCCATGGGTTAGTGGTGGCCTTGGCAGCGCTGGGTTAGCGGTTGGACTCGATGATCTTAAAGGTCTTTTCCAACCTTAACGATTCTGTGATTCTAAGATGCTTTCTGCTGGCCAGAGTCCCTCAGAGCGCCTCGTCGTTGCCCCTGCTCAGTCCACATAGGACGAATGCTTGTAGCGCGGCTCTCCCAGATAAGGAATGGTGCCTACTTGAACTTGAGCAAAGGATCCGGAATCACCTGTGACCCATCAGTGCCCTTGATTTCAGTCTCGAGGAACAGAGGAAAGTTAGTGTCGGTCATCTGGGAGACACCGGGGAGGGAAAGAAATCGAGTGAGATATTTGTTAGTTTAAAAGGCTGTTCCGCTATTGTGTCTGAGCTATTGCCGCTGAGCTTTCCTTCCTGTGTTCGTCCCAGATAGTGTTTGAGGAGGTGGAAAACCAATTTATATATATCTAGAAATGGGGCTTAATGGGAGTGCCTCCAGCGTAGCTGCCCGACTGTCAGTCAGCCTCCTCTGGAACACCACCTTTGTCTTGGTGTATGGGGAAGATTCTTCTCCGTGGCGTATTTCCAGCTTTGATCACAGAACTTGAGAGTAAAAAAGGTGGGAGGGGAGAAATGCTTCCAATACTGAGAATCTGACGGCGATTCTTCTCCGCAGCATGCTCTTCTCAGCATCCACAGACAAAACCGTGGCTGTGTGGGATAGCGAGACTGGAGAGAGAGTGAAGAGGCTGAAGGGCCATACCTCGTTTGTTAACTCCTGTTACCCAGCGAGGCGAGGACCCCAGCTTGTCTGTACAGGCAGTGACGATGGGACAGTGAAGGTCAGTATATTGTGCAAGGAGATAGTCTGGAATGAAAGTAAGATAAGATCTTTGAAAGAATTTTGGAGGGTCTTCCTGTTTAAGTGGGCTAAATTCAGCCTTTCGTTACTCTTATAATGTCATTATCTAAGAACTTGGATTTCAGAAATAAAAAATTCAAAGTAAAATTTGACTGCTCCCTTTTTTCTGTAATTCTGGGGGGGAGGGTAAGAAGATTCATCTACTCAGTTGTGCTTTTTCCACGGATCTGCATTAACCAAAGATGGGAAAGGCAAGCCGTTACTGAAATCTCACATGCCAGCCCCTTCTCCCCCCACCACTGCCGTGTTCCTGTGCTCCAGCCGCACCAGACTTTTACTGTTTTTTGTAGAGATCTCCTGAGATCTCAGAGAGGGAATTTCAGGAGAGCAGTCCGAGTCTCTGCCAAGCATCTGTGCAACTTCCTGAAATTTTGTCGTTAAATATCTGTACGCAACTTTTACAACTGCCGTGTCTTTTCAGCTGTGGGATATCAGGAAAAAAGCTGCTGTCCAGACGTTTCAGAACACATACCAGGTCTTGGCTGTAACTTTCAATGACACCAGTGATCAGATCATATCCGGAGGCATCGACAACGATATTAAGGTAGGACGCCCGTGTCCTCATGTGCCTTTCCAACCGTGCGCGCCTTTTCCATCCCGTCACATCTTGCTTGTAGCAGTGCGTAAGACACCGCGTGGTCAAGGGCAAACGTGGAAGCCCGTTGGTTAATTTTACAGTCACAAGAACCATGCAGACCTCCTGTGTCCGACCTCGCTGTTGAGATAGGGCCAATAAACGCCGAGGGAGTTGCTCCAGGGCTGTTTGCCATGTGACAGCCTGGGCAGCCGTGGCCTTCCTGGCCAGGTGTGC